TTAGCAGGGGCCTGGCCTGGGAGCAGAGGTCAGGCCCACCCCTGCACTCACTGGCAGTGGGGTGAAGCAGAGCAACCCAGCCCACTCTGCTCCCCTGGCTCCCAGCCATGTCACTCCACTACCCGCTGCTGGTAAGTGCAAGGGACAGTTCCATTTGTTGCCCCAAGCCCCATCCCCCAAGAGATGCAGGCCCAAGCCCTGTAGCTACCCTGCCCTGCTCCTGTCCCCAGCTTTGGACCAGCTCCCGCAGTTATTTAGCACAGCCCCTCCTGCAGGGGGGATGTCACATGCCTGATCTGCATAAGGCACCGGAACTGCTAAGGATGGTCATGGGTGCAAGTGTGGGCAGAACTGAGCACACTGATCGATGCCCTATTTGTCTGCCTAGGTTGCTTATAAGGCTTCCTCTCAGCAGAATCTGAGGGTATGTCTACGCTACCCCGCTAGTTCGAACTAGCGGGGGTAATGTAGTCATCCGCAGTTGCAAATGAAGCCTGGGATTTGAATTTCCCGGGCTTCATTTGAATGAAGCCGGCCGGCGCCATTTTTAAATGCCAGCTAGTTTGAACCCCGTGCCGCGCAGCTAGACGCGGCGCGGAGTAGCTAGTTCGGATTAGGCTTCCTAATCTGAACTAGCTGTACTCCTCGTTCCACAGATTAGAAGCCTTTAAAAATGGCGGCGCCCGGCTTATGCAAATGAAGCCCGGGAAATTCAAATTCCGGGCTTCATTTGCAAGTGCGGTATGCCTACATTACCCTCCTAGTTCGAATTAGGAGGGTAGTGTAGACATACCCTTAGATATTAAGGGTTTATTACACAAGTTTGTGGGTGAGGTTCTGTGGCCTGCAGGATGTTTGACTAGAAGATCATGATGGTCCTTTCTGGCCTTAAAAGTCTGAGATTCTGACTCCCATCTGCTCTACCCTGTCACCCAGACCAATGAGGAGAGGCATGAATGGCCAGTAACATTAAGCACTTGTGTCAGACTGCTGGCTAAACCAGAGCTCTGCCACTACAGCCTGGCTGAAAAGGTCAATTAGAACCAGCTGAGCAATCCCAGGCCTGAAGAGCTATTAGAAGCATCTGTCAGCCTCATTAGCCAGAGGGCTATATAAGGCAGTAAAAGGAGTGAGGTGCAAAGAGAGGAGCTAGGGTGTGACTGAGAGTGTTTCCCCAGGCAGAAGGACAGGCTGGCTGAGTTTGCTGTAATCTAAAAGCTTTGTAAATAGAAGGTGGTGGGAAACTGACAATAAAAGGCATGGGGGACTGCACCAGAAAGGGTCTCTGGGTGATTTGTGGACCAGAAGGTGTCCCAGGGCACCTTTTTTCAAAAAAAAAAAACCCTGTAGTCTAGACACACCCTGAGTGAGCTGCTCTGTTTAGGGGGAAAAGAGCAAATCATTGGAGTGCTTCTGTTCTGCCTTGCCAGGAATACAGTAGTAGGCAGTTGGCTGCTGCAGGGGGAGGGCTGGAGAGACTGCTGTGCTGTATTGACATTCCTTAGCATAGAGAGCTCACAGAGTTACAAGGGAATCCCAAGAAGTGGGATTCAGCTCTGCCTTCCCACAGCACTGCACTGTGAGATGCTTCCCTGCATTGCTTTGCTTTATCTGTCCACAGGGTGCTAGCTATGTGGCTGTGAAATGTCAACAATGGTAGGTAGAAAAATTGGTGTGATCAGTTTTCTCTCTTGGTAACTTTTGCATGCCGACAGCACTTTTGTCACCAAACTTACCCAGTGTAGGCATAGCCTATATTAAATTCCACACCGAGTGAGTATGACACTGGACTGGGCGTCAGGAGACCAGAGCACTATTCCAGGCTTTTGCTATGTAACTTTAGTCAAGAATTTTAGGGTCAAATTTTCAAAAACTGATTACATTTGAATGCCCTCTGTCAAAAACAAGGCACTCAGATTGCATTAGACCTCATCAAACTGATGAGCTCAAGTTGATGAAGGGTGCATCTGCTCAGCAGCAGTTCTGGAAATTATGCCTATGACTCATGACTGTTCACTGGTAACATTTGAAAGCAAAAATCTTCATTGACATATGTACTAGGGTCCCTGGCTGAAGTGGCAATAATAATTCTCACCCTCCCTTTTGTCAAGCGATTTGGAGAGCTGTGGATGAACAGCATTAAGTATGGTTATACTTCTATTATAGCACACCAAGAGGGTAAAAGCTTACTGAAACTCTTAATTCTCTTTGGTATAAAAAAACATTGCTCACAAATGAAGAGTTGCAGAAACAGTCAAGGCTGTGTCTAGACTGGCCCCTTTTTCCAGAAAAGCAGCCGCTTTTCTGGAAAAACTTGCCAGCTGTCTACACTGGCCGCTTGAATTTCCGCAAAAGCACTGACAATTTCATGTAAGATTGTCACTGCTTTTGCGGAAATACTGTGCTGCTCCCGTTCGGGCAAAAGTCTTTTTCTGAAAGACATTTGTGCAAAAGGGCCAGTGTAGACAGCACAGTACTGTTTTCCGCAAAAAAGCCGCGATCGCGAAAATGGCGATTGGGGCTTTTTTGCGGAAAAGCGCGTATAGATTGGCCATGGACGCTTTTCCACAAAAAGTGCTTTTGCGGAAAAGTGTCCTGCCAATCTAGACGTGCTTTTCTGAAAATGCTTTTAATGGAAAACTTTTCCGTTAAAAGCATTTCCGGAAAATCAAGCCAGTGTAGACTTAGCCTCAGGGTTGACCAATAATAGAATGAATCAGAAATGAAACTGATTTAACAGTCACAGATACTAGTTTTCAAATTGTTCTGGTTGGCGCACCAGAACAGATAGGCTGCAAAGTAATTAGCCATTCTGAAGACTGAGTCAACAGTAGCCAAGAAAGCTAATGGTATATTAGGTTGCATTAGGAGGAGCACTGCCATCAGATCTAGAGAACTTATTATTCCCCTTTATTTGGCTCTGGTGAGGCCACATCTGGAGTACTGTGTCCAATTCTGGGCTCCACACTACAGAAAAGATGTAGACACGTTGGAGAGGTTCCAGTGGAGGGCAACCAAAATGATTAGGGGGCTGGAGCACATGACCTATGAGGAGAGGCTGAGGGATTTGGGCTTATTTAGTCTTCAGAAGAGAAGAGCGAGGGGGGATTTGATAGCAGCCTTCAACTTCCTGCGGGAAGCTTGTCGAGGGGCCAGCCCCCTCAATAGTCTGTGCCCGCTTTTCACCAGGTAAATACAACTCCGCAGGCTCAGTCCCAGGGTACAGTTCCTTCTATTAGTGTGAATATGGCCCTGCAGGCCTAATCCCCAAAGTATACACCCCACTATTAGGGTGAATATGGCCCTACCGGCTTAGTCCCAAAGTACAGGCCTCGCTATTAGGGTGAATGTGTCCCACCCAGCCTAGTCCCAAAGTACAGTCCCCTCTTTCAGGGTGAATACAGCCCTACCAGCTTAGTCAGCTACACATCCCCCTTTCTCAAGGTCATAATGGCCTAGTCCAAAGTTAGCTTCCAAAAATGCTAGAGCGCGCAATTGTGGGGAGGTAGGAGGACCCAGGCTTGCAGTGGCGAATTCTGCTGCCTACTCAGTGGGGATGTTGAGCTCCTGGTGGACAATCCTCTGCCTTGAGCTACTTCCTACCACTTCCAGTGCACTGCTCCATTCTGCTAGACGCGGCACGGAGTAGCTAGTTCGGATTAGGCTTCCTAATCTGAACTAGCTGTACTCCTCGTTCCACAGATTAGAAGCCTAGTCGCGCAGCACGGGGTTCGAACTAGCCAGCATTTAAAAATGGCGCCGGCCGGCTTCATGCAAATGAAGCCCGGGAAATTCAAATCCCGGGCTTCATTTGCAACTGTGGATGACTACATTACCCCCGCTAGTTCGAACTAGTGGGGTAGTGTAGACATACCCTGAGGGTATGTCTACACTTGCACCCTCGTTTGAACTAGGGATGCAAATGCAGGCATTCAAAATTGCTAATGAAGAGGGAATTTAAATATCCCACGCTTCATTAGAATGATCTTGCCGGCGCGCTAGTTCGAATCACAGCTGATTCGAACCAGGAAGTGTGCACCGCTTGGTTCGAACTAATGTTACGTCTCAAAAAACGAGGAACCAGAAGAACCAATTGGATACAGTGCTGACATTATATATAAATATATACCTGCTGACGTTTCTCTTTGTGTGAGTTTTAAGCCAGGAGTTGGGAGAAAGAGAATGATTTAAACCCAGGCAGGACTACCATGCCTACAAGGAATTTGGACAATGGAAGTGGACTGGACTGTGAAGGGATCATGAGTAAATAAGAGGAAAATGTATATTTAGTCACGATCAGGGTATTTTTCTTTGTTTTGGTTGTTTGGTTAAACTTCTCTATGTAAAATACATTCCCCCGTCCCCATTAAATATGTAAGCTGTACCCAGAGATACTATGTTCTCTGTGGTTTAATTTGTTCTTCTCAGTTGCTCTGTAACACCTAACAACCAAGTATGCCTCATTAAGGATATATTTTTGATTGTTGTTAATAAAATCATCTTTTTTAAGGCATTGATTTGATTCTTGTGTCCTGGAAGATAACAGATCTGTGTGTGTGCCTGCCTAGCCTGAGAGGTCAGCTATCAAAGACTCAGTTTGTTTTCTGTGTTTTCTTTTGTTTCTTTTTTCAAGCTTTCTTGTAGCAGAAGAGCCTGGGGTACCCCATGGGAATTCAAGTGTTCCATCCTGGTTTTTCAGGATTCTTTAAAATCACTTGATGGTGGCAGCCTATCTTCCAGAGTCAGTGCATTTGTGACTCTGGGGATTGATAGATAGATTTTAGAAGCACAGCATACAGAAGCAAGGTATTTAAGGTCTTCTGCAGGCCCCCACTTTCTGCACTCGGAGTGCCAGAGTGAGGAACAGCCCTGCCACCATCTCTAAAGGAACATGACAGTTAGCCCTTGCTAAAAAAGGCTACCCAGGAATAGAAGTGTGACCTGCAGTTTACAGACCTCACATAAAACTCTGGGACTATAAATCTAATTCAACCGTGTCTAATCTGATATATGTGAAAGTACATGACAGGGCTATTAGCAAAATACATAAAATGGTCCATCTAAAAAGTTAAACAAATAAAGACTAATATGTGTAGCATGTTCTACTGCATGGTCATAATAAAGGGAAAATAATGTTGAGTGCTTCTGTTGTTCCACATTGTGTCACAGATATCAAACAGAAAAAGTTAAGACAGCATTTATAGTCATAAACAACTGTAAATACAACCTTTAAAACTACTTAATTCAGCATGTCCACTTTATCGTACGCAGAACAATATACCTTGCCAGCATGTTGCTGTTAACAAGTGTTAAAGATAATTTCCCTTCATCATTCAGCTGATGTAAGTTGATTTCATCCTGGAAGATATGGAATGATTCTGGGATATCCAGTTCTTCCAAAATAAACCGTGTTTCTGGGTAATAGCTGAACTCTCTTCTTGGTATGTTCAGCACAGGTAAGCACAGAACATCCGGGGGACTGACCTATAACAGCAGAATGTGTATCTGTCAGAATGCTGTAAAACAGTAATTGACTTTCATTACAGATAAGCACGATAGGCTGGGACAATTTTGCCTAATTTTTTGCCCGTCAATAAACTTTATTTCCTCCAATTAATTCCTTTTTGTAATGTCCTCTTTATATATCTACAGTAAAGATGTTGAAAAAATGAGTGAGGACTGGGGAGGGGATTGCTAAAAATTCTATCTCGGTTTTAGCATGTGTTACATTCTATCACCTGCACTGAATGTTTACCTTTGGTTTGGTCTTATGATTAAGCTGTTAGACTAAAAATCAGGAAATCTTTGTTTAATTCTCAGTTCTACCACACATACCTTGTATGACTATAGACAAATGTATTCTTGAAGACACTGTGATCCCCAATGCAGTCAATGGAAAAAAATTCCATAAACGCCATAAATTTCCATTGATTTCAGAGAGGTCAGGATTTCATTTACTATATCTCAATTGCCCGCTATGTCTACACTAGCCCCCAGATCGATCTAGGGAGGCTTATCAGGGCGACCGGAATTGCAAATCAAACCCAGGATTTAAATAGCCCGCGCTTGATTTGCATGTTCCCGGCCGGTCGCCATTTTAGAAATTGACTAGCCCGAAGTAAATGCCCGCGTCTACACGCGGCAGTGAAATGGGCTTCCGATTTAAAGCCCCTAATTCAAATTAGGTGGTAAACCTCATTGCAGGAGGAATACCACCTAATTCAATTTGCAATTACGGTCGCCCTCATTAGCCTCCCTAGATCGATCTACGGGGCTAATGTAGATGTACCCTTAACTATTTATACAGAAACTCTAGAAGGCAGTTATTGACTTTTACAATGAGTATGTACAGTGCTTTAAGCAAAGGGTTCCCCCATAGATGCAACTATGACACTAGTAAAACATACATACTAGTAATCTGCCTTCTGTGTCCTGTGAATCAAGACTAATGAACAAAAACAGTAAGAATGGATGTTATTTGTATCAAAGATAAACCCAACCCTCTGCAGAAGATTTGCATAAGTTCTATGTATCACTTAAGGGAGATTTTCATGATAAACAGGCCATGTGTTGACAATGAATTTCACCTGTGTTGCATTAAGATGTTCTTTGTTTTTTCATTATTGCCATTCATTTCTTGTATGTAGATAATCTCTAGACCATTACCTCTGTATAACAAAAGGCTGACATCTGCCACTAATTCAAAGTGGGTCTTGTGTTTGACTGAAAAGGGAGCCTAATTTTGTATACTTATTTGTTATAGATGTTTTAATGCTCAGCAAATAAAAACATAAGTCAGGATCTCATTGTTTTACCTTGTCTAGGAAGTAGGCATATGTTAATGCAGAAATGAGAGAATCCAAATCACATGGTTTATTCCCAAGAACAACATGGACTTTCTCCAGGCGTTTGCTCCGGTTCTGAAACATATGATATAAGAGCATTTTAAAAGGTGACCATGAAAATAGCAAGGAATGCAGACATTTAACTTACCTATTGATATATCTAAATGTTTAGCTTAACTGTAAAACTTTTCAGACAGCCAGTTTAATATATGTGCTTCTTATGGGGTCAGTCCAATTGCCAGGCACCCATAAATCCCAATGAACTCAGAAGGGGCTTGGAGTGCATAAGAGACCCAGGGTTAGATCCTATGGACTGAACTGATAACCTCCAGACAAACATAGGTCAGAGAAAGAATTCCAATTAAAATCAATGGTGTAGGACAATGAGAAAATCCATTTCCTGAGTGGCGAACTACACAGACCTAGTGAGAAAAGCAGCCATGAGGCACGAGGAGTATCCTGTATCACAATACAGAGTAACTTCAGGCATGTCTACACTGGGGAGTTATTTTAAGATAACTCCCCTTATTTCAAAATAACAAGTAGAACATCCACACTACAAAGCCCATTATTTCAAAATAATGGGCTTGTTATTTCAAAGTAATAACTTTTGCATGTGAAGAGGAATAAGCTTATTTCGAAATAGTTATTTTGGGACTTATTTTGAAATAACCTGGTAGTGTAGACATAGCCTTCTAGTTGCAGCAGCTTTCTTTTTCTGCCATTTGGCCTGATATTTGCAACACCTTAAGCCTGATCCTGCAAGAAAATGAGCACGTCCCCATGAGGTGCTGCATGCTTTTAATTCTCACTGACAGCAATGGGAATTAAGAATGTTCAATATCTGGTAAAACTGGGTCCCTTCCAAATGCCAGAGAGGGAAATGCCAAACATGCTGTGTAAATGTGAAGTATTTCAGAGAACTTCATAAACATTCATATATACCCTCCCCCCTACACACACATCAGATGGTGGTGAATTAAGCTTTTTCTTGAACACATCATTAATGAAATGCCAACTGTACAGAAATGTTCTGATCTATTGCTTTTTAATGAGCTGTGCATCTTAGTCTGAGAAACAAACCTGACTGACACTAATGTAGGTGTCTCACATCCAAACATACACAATTAAACAGGTTCTTTTCCATGTTTGAAGGTTGAAGTGCATTCTGTTATTTTGAATTAATTGTCTACACTTTCTCAAATGAAATCTAATCTTCCTACAAAGGGCTATAATTAGCATACTTGCCTCAATTGTAAACCTGTTAATAAAAAAACATACAAACGTCTAATTTTCATTCTACCTGGATAGAAAAAAAAAGAGGTACAGGATTTGTTTGGGTCTTTTTTTTCCCATTATGTAGAACATAATAATTCAAAATAACCTTGGGTAATAAACCCAGATCAATTGTTTCCCCATCTCCTGTGCACATAGAAGGAAACTACTGAAGCAAGATATCTTTCTGAACAATGCAATTGTAAAAACTGTCTGGACCAGACACCTATGACTTAAATGTACATCTTCTCTATCATCAATATTTCTCTACTTCTTTATTTCCCTATGTCTAGCTGTCCAGAGCAGCTCATGATCGTCAGGACCAAGCTTGGGGCAGACTGTGAAGAGGCAGGTGTGACAGGGTGTGGTAACAGAAGACCCCTTGCCAAGGCCACTGACATTCACCTGCCTGCTCTCTGAGGGTATGTCTAGACTACATGGCTCTGTCACCAGAGCCATGTAGATTAGTTTACTAGACATATCCAAATGAAGCGGCGATTTAAATAATTGCCACTTCATTTAAATTAAAATGGCTGCCGCGCTGAGCCGATCAGTGGTTTGTCGGCTCAGTGCACTAGTCTGGACGCTCCGCAGTCGACATCAAAGGCATTTGTCGACTGCCCCGGTAAACCTCATCCCAGGAGGCATAGCGGGGCGGTCGACAAATGCCTTTGATGTCAACCGCGGAGCGTCCAGACTAGCGCACTGAGCCGACAAACCACTGATCGGCTCAGCGCGGCAGCCATTTTAATGTAAATGAAGTGGCGATTATTTAAATCGCCGCTTCATTTGGGTATGTCTAGTAAACTAATCTACATGGCTCCGGTGACAGAGCCATGTAGTCTAGACATACCCTGAGGCTTCTCACCGCCCGGTCCTGCTGGGCCAGCTCCACTGGTCTCTCCTGGCCAATGCACCAAGCTGAGATCACTGTTCTCCCGAAGAAGCAGTACAGACACTGAATCTCTTCGGGTCCAAGGAAAATGCAGCTTAAGGCCCAGCTTCCTGGGAAACCATTCCCTAAATGGGATCAGAACTCCAAATGAATGATATAGGTAAGCCCCCTTTAACTATGAAAGGAGGAATGTATGCACTGATTGCTCCCCCAGGTAGTAATTCTTTACACTGGGCTTGACCGAAAATAAAAGTGATTGTATTAAGTACAAGAAGTAGGATTTAAGTGGTAATAAAGTGAGAACAGGCAGAGCCAAGTAGACTACAAACTCAAAATAACAGAAAACACTTACTTAATTCTAACACTGAAACCTCAATACATAAACTTATTACACACTCACCCTAAAACTGTTCGGTTTCCAGCTAAGCCTTCCAAATCAGGGCTGTTCCTCACTCTGGGGTCTTTGGTTCCTTCTCTGGAGTGTGCCAGCCAAAGACAAAAAGCTTGCAAGTTTCCCATTGTTTTCAAGATTCCCCCTTTTGCATGGGAAGCTACCTGACCTACCAGTTAGGTAGGTGACATGACTTCCTAGGATCAACCATTGCTAAGACTTGGACAAAAGAGTTGTTTACAGTTGATCAGGCTTTGAGAGAAACAGCCTTGATGGCTTGCCTTTGCATTTTTAAAAGCATAAAACATTCCATACTCCATATGGAACTTAACACACACAAATGATACATACACCAAAATATACAGATCCAGTGGTTTATGACATTATCTCATGTAACCTATCAATCTTAATTTGCTCAAAGCACCTCTGAATTACACATATCTGTGTCCACAAGTCCACTTTCTAAAGCATGGGGGGGCGGACTTCACCCAAATTGACGGTGTGTTCTATACATACATTTCACCAACTAAATATCAGGTGTGAACTCCTCAAGCACTAAAATAGCCTTAACATGGAGCCACAGTCAGTCCCCTTTTGTACTCCAGTCTATCTTGCCCTCATCTTTCCAACAGATGGTCCTTTATACCAAAGTATCACAATAAACATGTTATTCCCAGTCCCTACTTACCCCAGCTCAATTGTACATTAAGATGGTCCTTTATACCAAAGTATCACAATAATCATGTTATTCCCAGTCCCTATTTACCCCAGCTCAATTCTACATTAGATCTCTCACCAAAGACAATGCTTATAGCCAATCCTATAATAAACTAACTAAAAACTTATTAAGAAAAAGAAATGAGAGTCATTTACAAGGTTAAAACAGGCAAATATACATATACAAATGAGTGACTGCCTTAGGGCATGTCTACACTACAAAATTAAATTGACCTAAATTATGGCATCATACAGTTGTCACAGTAATTACATCCCTTGTACATGTCTACACGTTGCTTCTTGCGTCAGCAGTGTGTGTCCTCACCAGAAGCACTTCTACCAACTGTTCTGTCAGTGTGGGGTACTGTGGGATGTAACAGTCGATGTAAGCAAAGCAATGCCTACACTGACACTGCATCAACCTAACTATATTGACATTGGCTCTACCTTGCATAAAGGTGGAGTTATTAAGGCAATGTCTACACTAGAGTGCTTAAAGTGGGACAGCTGTACTGACACCACACATATTCAAATCATTTTAGGGTTACCAAATAGTGACAATTTCAGTGTCATACTAATGACTAAATAAAAACTCATTAGTTCATGGTTTCTTCAGTAAAAACTGCCCTGCCCCAAAAGGCAGTTTTTGGTGACAAAACTTGGTAGAGTAGACATGCCGTACATGACACAGCTATTGTTCCAGGAATGCTGAGAACAAAGAGATCAAAAGAACTCACTAACGCTTGTCTCTTTCACCAACAGAAGCTGGTCTAATAAAAGATACTGCCTCACCCACCTTGTCTCTCTCAGTCACTAAACAGTTAAAAATCTCTTCTCAGGAGAGAAGGGGGCTTCTGTTGTCAGGAGCTGTCAAAGGGGATGTACTGGCACAGGGAGAGGCTCTGCAGAGGGAAAAAAGACTCTGGACCTTCCTAACTTCCAGGAATAGGATGCTTAGAGAAAGACAAACAAGCAGATAGACCGCTTTTTGTTCTAAGATCCATTTTTCTCCTCAATGCATTTGTTCTGAATAAATAATGCTTTGGTTTAAGAAGACAGTGTAATCACTAGTTACCATTATCCTTGTGGAAGGGATACAACTGCAAGTGGTGAAAACAAACTAGGACTGCTGATCACAGGGGACATGGGAGAACTGCATGGCTTTCAACCTTGAGGTGATGGCTCCAGGAACAGAACTGAACAGACAAGAAGAGGTCAGAGGTGCAGTTAGCCTGGTGACATCTCCTTCTTAAATTTTGTAATTCTATTCCATACTGCTGCTTATTTCACTGTACCTACCTGTGTGCCAAATAAACCAAGAATCCTGTCCTGAACAGTGCAGTAAAGATTTTTAAAGGTAAGCTTAAAATTCCTATGTTTAATAAATAAATACATAAAAATGTCCTTATCTATGTTTTTCATAACACCCACAATGATTAAAAGTGAATAAATGTTAAAAATAACTTTCACTATTTTTGCTGGTTCCTGTTTGCTGTTCACTTCTATCAACCACAAAAAGAATACACTAGTAAGTTCCCATATATTATAACTTTCAGGTTCCCATACATAAAAACAATGCTGCAGTGTTCAGTAGTATGACAAATTAATTTTAAAACCAATTCCATCCCATATTTTTAGAATTTCATGAAAACTTTCTAATTGACCTGTGTTTTGTGACAAGTTTTCACAAAATCTATATTTTTATCATATCTGATCAAAAACATACCTTTTAAAACATATATCCCTACGATCTTTCAATGTTATTTCATAGATTCATAGAATTTAAGGTCAGAAGGG